GAGAGGGAGAAGCAGGCTTCCCACCGAGCAGGGAGCCCGATGCAGGGCTCGATCCCAGGACCCTGGGATTATGACCTGAGCTGAAGGCAGATGCTTAATGACTGAGCCACCTAGGCGCCCCTAGAGCAGTGGTTCTTAACTAAGGATGCGGGGACATTTGGCAGTGTCTGGAGACCTATTTGGTTGTCACAGCGGGGAGGGTGCTAAACATCCTGTTGTGCACAGGACTGTAGCAAAGAATTACCTGGCCCCGAATGTCAGTAGTGCCAAGGTTGTTTGTGTCTTCAGGTGTCCAAAGTGTTTATTTAGTTTTTACATTTTATACTTGCTAAACAGAGTTGAGAATGAAACCATTCTTTTAACGAGCCCCCTGTTTTTCAGATGCTGTCCCACAACCCAGATTCTACTGTGTCCTGTCCCCAGAAGCCTCAGAGGATGATTTGAACCGACTCGATTCTGTGGTACCAGGAATTTTAAAACCCCATTTTACATGTGGGTCAGATGGTTTCCACCAAAATCAGTCTGTCAGGGGAAAAGGGAATGACTTGCTTTTTGTAATGAGGGAATTTGGCCTGTATTCGGATTTGAACTTATTCTAGTAGGAATATGTTATTTGCTGGGCTCTACTTTTGCCGTAGGGGCACCTTCTTCCTGTCTCTGTTAGCATCTTCACATGCAGATATTTTTAATGGAAAAAATAGTTAACATCATTCTAATACCTGCCCTTGTGTGCTCACAATAGTCCATAAACTGAGAGAGGTCCCTGAATGGGAATCTTGCGGCAAGGAGAAATTCTTACCTGTAATTTGAATGAGCTATTTTGTCAGTCATGAGATTAAATGATAGTGTATGGGAAGTAGACAAAATATCTCAAAAAAATAAGAAAAAATGTTTTTTTTCTCTCGATATTAGGCATGTGATGTTCTTTTCTCTAAGCTTGTCAAGTATGATGAGCTTTACACTGCACTGACATCCCTGCTTGCAGCTGGATCCCAGCTTGATACAGTCAGGAGAAAGGAAAACAAGAACGTAACGGCCTTGGTAAGACCACTGAAGCCCAGGCTGATTATAAAGAGTTTGGAATGTGTTTGATAATTGGGTAGCGGTTCTACCAGAAATTTCTTCCTGGGATCTAATCAGTTACTGAATTATCTGTTTCCAGAACTGACTGATACTTCAGTATTTTTTTTTTTTTTTTTAAAGATTTTATTTGGGAGAGAGAGCGAGAGAGAGATTGAGAGTGAGCACAAGCGGGGAGGGGGGCAGGACGGGCAGAACGAGAAGCAGGCTCCCCGCTGAGGAGGGAGCCCGACGTGTGGCTCAATCCTAGGACCCTGCTTTGTTATTATATATATTCTCTGTCAAAGACCTGCAGAGCAGACTTGCAAGCCAGATCTTAGTTGAAGGTCAGGACTGCACACAGTCTGCTTTAAACATTGTATTTGGAATGGTTCTTACTGTTCGGGGGCTCGTGACTCGATACCAAGTGCCACTGCTGTGACCACTCTTTTCGCTTCTTCCAGGAGGCCTGTGCCCTTCAGTGTTACTTCTTGATTCTGTGGAGGATCCTGGGGATTTTGCCACCATCAAAGACCTACATGAACCAGCTGGCTATGAACTCACCTGAGATGAGTGAATGTGACATCTTACACACCCTGCGCTGGTCTTCCCGCCTCCGCATCAGCTCTTATGCCAACTGGATAAAGGTACCACGGTGTCACACAGGGCTTGCTGCCGAGGGGTGGCCAAAGCCACCATGCTCTGTACTTGTGGGAACTTGTTAGTTTTTAAGGGTAATGAAAGCTTTAGACTCTATCTGTAATAATCTGAACACTTTTTCTTGCTGTCCAAACAGGATCACCTTATCAAACAGGGCATGAAGGCGGAACATGCTGGTTCTCTCCTAGAACTGGCATCCACCAAGTGCAGCTCAGTGAAATATGATGTTGAAATTGTAGAGGAATACTTTGCTCGACAGGTATGTTCGTTTTGGGTCCATAATACCAGGATTTAGCTTGTGCCGTAGCCCTTTGCCACAACTAATTAATATTTTGGGTACTTTTAAAGATCTCATCATTCTGTAGCATCGACTATACCACCATCTTGCAACTCCATGAAATTCCAAGTCTGCAGTCCATCTACACCCTTGATGCTGCCATTTCGAAGGTCCAGGTCTCCCTGGATGAGCATTTTTCCAAGATGGCCGCCGAGACTGATCCTCATAAGTCTTCTGAGATCACCAAGAACCTGCTTCCAGCCACTCTACAACTCATTGACACCTATGCATCATTCACTAGGTGTGACGGGCTGCCTGACCACAGATGTTGGAAATGGGGAATTGAGATCCTTTGGCTGTTTACTTTCTTTAGAAGCCTGAAAATTCTTCAAATTGAGCTTGGTGGTTCTAAGTACTGTTCACTGTGCAGATCCTTAAGGACTGAGAATCTTACATTTTTTTCTTTTTGTCAGCTCAGGGTTTTTTTCTCTCTTGGTAAAATGTTTTTTTCTCTAATATAAAGAAAGGGATGCCTGATGAGAGAATTTTCAAATAGTTCAGGAAGAGTCAAGAAGAAGTTTGATTTCTATAAATCTTTAAATATTTTGTAGCATTTAACTTGTAGGATACAAGGAAAGATAATGAAATTTCCCCAAACATGTCATTTCTGTCATTCACTAAGATGAAGCTTTAAATGCTTTTTAAATTTCATGTAGGTAGTTAGAGAAATTTTGTAATGAGTCGGGGATTATTTTGAAATCTAGTCCTTTCTAAAATAATACGCATTGCAAATTGCACGCCCTATAGACTACTTCTGCATGATGTTTAAATACTTGGAATCTACGTTCAGTGTATTAAGATGGGGAGTTTATTCACAAAACAAAATTTATGGCTTTTCTTATATGGGAAGAACTGGCAAAACTGTGTCTGACTTGCCATGTAACATTAGCATACCAGAGTTGAGGAATGGCTACCCTGTGTAGCTGTTCTCACTGGGCCTCTTTACGCTTATTTACTTTCTCTGGTCCCTGTAGGATTTCACTGTTCAGCTCCTGTTCTATGGAGCTTTTATGCTAAAAGGGACTTGGGTCATTGTAAAGCTTAACTAAAGCCTAAGTTTGAATGTCTTGGAGTAAGTAGAGCGAAGACTATTGTTGGAGGCACAGTTCTTGACGATACATGAGCAATAGGCATGAGTAGCAAATGGGAGAGCTTGTTATGTGTCAGGTATTTTTCTAGGTGCCAGGGGGATTGCAGTAGCAAAGCTGATCAAGTCCCTGCCCTCTGAGAGCTTCTAGACTCCAATCTGGCCCATTAGGCCAACTCTTTATACAATAAGCTGTTAATAAATATTCCTGGCAAGTAAGTTTGGGAAGTCCTGAGTAAATACAGGTGAACTGCTTTTGAAAAAGTATAGAACAGTTGACCTTTGAACCCCGTGGGGTTGGAAGCACCAGTCCCCCTATGCAGTTGAAAATATGCATAGAACTTTTGTTTTCCCCCAAACATAACTACTGGTAGCCTACTGTTGACCAGATGGGGAAGTAAAAGGACTTGAGTAGGACTGGAGTTAAGGGTGGTAGTTGCCCTCTAAATTTATAGCCGTTTGTATTTTCCTGAACTTAAGTAATTGCCTTATTGATAACATAAAGTGTCCATTAGCACATATTTTGTATATATTTGTATCATATACTGTATTCTTAAATTAAGCTAATGAAAAGAAAATGTAATTAGGAAAATCATAAGGAGGACAGAATATGTTCACAGTACTGTATTTTATTTATTGACAAAAATCTGTGTGTAAGTGGACCTGTGTGGTTAAAACTCCTGTTGTTCAAAGGTGAACTATACTTCTCAGAGCCTTCAGTATATACACTGCCAATCTTCCAAGACCAGGGGGAGGTGGGTAGATAGTGTTCAATGTTTGCCAAGCTCATTTGTCCTGGAATTGTGTTTTGGGGACATTTCAAAGGATGGACTATTCTTTGGAAAATAGCTACCCATTGGAATTTTTACGAGATCACAAAGGGGCAGGTACTGTCAACTACATTTAATAGATTAGGAAACGGAGGTACAGGTGTTTCAATTTGTCTAGGGCAGTTTCTTCTAACTATGATGGGAGTAGGTTCTTCAGCTTTCATGTATCCCCTATTTTTTTCTTCAGAGCCTATTTGCTGCAGAACTTTAATGAAGAAGGATCCACTGAAAAACCTTCCCAGGAGAAATTGCATGGCTTTGCTGCCGTTTTGGCTATTGGCTCTAGTAGGTGCAAGGCAAACACTTTGGGTAAGTGAATGTGCTTTTTGAAATGCTGTTACCACTGGTAGGACAAGTCCTACCACTTGTCTGCCTGTCTACAGACATTTGCCACTTACTGGAACCTTTCTGTGTATCAAACATTGACATAGGTTTATCTCTGTCAGTCCTCTCAGAAGCTTTATGAAGTGTTACTTTCCCCTCTTACTCCATAGGAGACTAAGTCTTAGAGAAGTTAATTTGCCCAAGATCCTACGTCTTGCAGGATGTGGAGGCTGGGATCCAAACCAGTCATTTGGTTCTAAAGCATTAGCCTGTGTTCTCTTTTTCATTTATGGAGATCAGGGAGATCAGCAAGCTGCTGCTTCGTGCTGGGCAGACCTCTTCCCCATGTTAGGAATGATCTGGTAGAAATGGAGGCTGGGGAAGCAAAAGGACCTGAGCAGGACTGGAGTTAAGAGCAGTCATTACTCTCTCAATTTATTACTGTTTGTATTTTCCTGAATTGCAAGCTTTAAATGCCTTTTCAGTGTTCAGATAGTCACACTTTTGGAAATTAAATTCTCCTACTTCATGGAATGCTGTTCTTTTTTTTTTTTAAAGATTTTATTTATTTATTTGACAGCACGAGAGAGCACAAGCAGGGAGAGCAGCAGAGGGAGAGGGAGAAGCAGGCTTCCCGCTTAGCAGGGAGCCCAGTGTGGGGCTCAATCTTGGGACCCTGGGATCTGACCCGAGCCGAAGGCACATACTTAACTGACTGAGCCACCCAGGCGCCCCTGGAATGCTGTTCTTTTTTTTTAAGATTTTATTTATTTATCTGAGCGAGAGAGAGCACGAGAGGGGGGAGGGTCGGGAGGGTCAGAGGGAGAAGCAGACTCCCTGCCGAGCAGGGAGCCCGATACGGGACTCGATCCCGGGACTCCAGGATCATGACCTGAGCTGAAGGCAGTCGCTTAACCAACTGAGCCACCCAGGCGCCCTGGAATGCTGTTCTTGATGCGCATTAAGAATCCCTGCCCTCGGGGGCACCTGGTGGCTCAGTCAGTTAAGTGTCCGACTCTTGATTTCGGCTCAGGTCCTGATCTCCGTGTGGTGGCATCGGGCCTGTGTCAGGCTCTGTGCTCAGCAGGGAGTCTGCTTGAGATCCTCTCTCTTTTTTGCTCCCCCACCTCTGTCTCTCACTCTGTCTCCGAAATGTATAAATAAATCTTTAAAAAAAGAAAAAGAATCCCTGCCCTCAGATTTGTCTTGAGAGAAGAGACTAAGGTGCTACCTGTTTGTGGAAGGTGTAACAGACGCTGAGTAGTGATTTTAGCCTGACTTGTAGTGACATGCTCCCGCTTTGTATCCCTTTCTCAGTTGTCGTCTTTACTTGCGAGATTAGAAAGTGACTATGATGGGAAATGAAAACCTTATAATTGACATTGTTAGCTATTAAGCAATTAGCTAGTTCTTGGATATAGTACCGCTATTGAAAGATCCATCTAAGCGATCTTAGTAATTATGTTGACAGATTGGGCAATGGTGTATCTTTCTGCATTTGGGCTTGGCTTTAAAATAGTATGTGTCATTTTTTTCTCTCTTGTGATGAGTCCTCGTCTTTCCTGTCGCCTCCAGGTCCCACACTGGTTCAGAATTTACCATCCTGGGTGCAGGCTGTGTGTGAATCTTGGAACAACATCAACACCAATGAGTTTCCCAACATCGGATCCTGGGTGAGTGTCTGTTCTCAGAGTAGGGATATGGAGCGCTAGCCATTCTGTGTTCTGTTCTTATTCCTTAGGCTGAAAGTAACTGCCAAGAGGTCTTGGTATGCTGCAATATATTTGCTATGGTTGAATCGATAATCAAAGGCTTGAATTACCCAAATGGTACCCAGGTGGTTGTTTTGTTAAGAAATCTGTGTTACTGTGTTATAAGACAGCCGTTTTATTATTCGCTTTGTTTCCTTGTCTCTTTAATACTGGGATGTGAAGATTAATTGTATGAAATGTAAGGTGCCTGGCACAGTCTTTGGCTCCTGAATTCTCAGTAAATGTGAGCTGTTTTCATTTCCTTTTTAGGAAAAATATCAGGAACCTGCTCCTTTTTTTTTTTTTTTTAAAGATTTTATTTATTTATTTGAGACAGAGAGAATGAGAGAGAGAGAGCACATGAGAGGGGGGAGGGTCAGAGGGAGAAGCAAGCTCCTTGCTGAGCAGGGAGCCCCTTGCGGGACTCGATCCAGGGACTCCAGGATCATGACCTGAGCTGAAGGCAGTCGCTTAACCAACTGAGCCACCCAGGCGCCCGAACCTGCTCCTTTTGTCATAGTTTCCTAGGGTAGCTTTCAGGTTCTGGAGGCTGTTGGAAGACTGGAGTCTCCTGTCAGTTCACTTGACCTTTGTGTCTGCTCTGCTCAAATTATCTCTATTAACATATTATTCCCTTGTCACTGTTCTTTGTGAAAGTCAAGCATTGTAATCTTGTATCCCTGCTTTATAATTGTGATCTCTATTTACATCACCCGGAGTGGAAGGATAATGAAGATATTTTATTGGAGACTCTAATGCTTTGCAAAATACATCTCCTTCTTAATTATTATAGATAGTAGTTTTAGTGTTAAGTAGAATATATTCTAATTATTTGAAAACTGGTGTTGGGTATCTTAACATTTTAACATTGTTGTACTAACATTTTAACTTTTTAGCTTTTTTTTTTTTAAGAGGAGGAGAGAGAGGGGGAGGGGTAGAGGGAGAGGGAGAAAGAATCTCAAGCAGACTCCCCGCTAAGCACGGAGCCTGATGAGGGCTCCATCCCATGGCCTTACTAAGATGAGCTGAGCTGAAACCAAGAGTCATACGCTCAACTGACTGAGCCAGCCAGGCGCCCAAGAGAGAGAATCTTAAGCAGGCTCCATCTCATAACCCTGAGATCATGACCTGAGCCGAAATCAGGAGTTGGATGCTCAACCGACTGAGCCACCCAGGCGCCCTTTAACTTTATAAATTTTAAGTTACCTTTGTACTAACTAAAAATTGTTAACTGCTTCCTTCGCTCTACCCCACTTTCCTTCCCAGGATGAGTAATAGTGTATACTGAGTAGAGCCATTGTCTGGAAACCTCAGTGGGTCTTAGTTTATGCCACTGGGTTCTTTTCCCCCCACGTGAGAATTTTTATCCCTGCTAGATAGACGGTCTGTCCATTCATGTCTGTTTTGTTTCCTTTCAGCGCAATGCCTTTGCTAATGACACCATCCCTTCGGAGAGTTACATCAGTGCTGTGCAGGCTGCTCACTTGGGGACTCTTTGTGGCCAAAGTCTGCCCCTGGCTGCTTCTCTGAAGCACACCCTCCTCTCACTGGTCAGGCTGACCGGAGATCTTATTGTGTGAGTATCTACTACAGAGCCCTGCTTGCTCTCTATTTCTGTGTTCCTTTGTAGCTAAAGGAAGATGGAGTTTATAATCGTGTAATAATGCTTTTCTTGTATGCTTCTGTAGCAAAGAGAGTCTGTTGTTTCAGAGTGGACTGTGAGCATTAATCTAGAATGTGATGTGAAAGGTAGCAGAATACCTCCTCCCCTCTGGCAGAAAAGGCCATCCAGGCTTTAAATCATACTGTAATTTTGAGGTGCTTTGGGTTGGAGTTTTAAGGTGGCAGTGATAGATTTCAAATCATGCATCTCCAGAATCCTTGCGGGAGTTAGCCTCTGCTCTTGTGGGGCCTGGGGCAGGCCAGGGAGGCACTGCTTTGTCTTCCTGTACATAGGACCCAGGTGAAGGCCTCTATCACATCGCCTTGAAAGTGATCCAGATTCCTGGCAGTTCTACGAAAGTTGTCTGGGATGGGTTTCTAGCTTAGGTTTCAGTTAATTTTCTTTTCTGAATATTACAAAGTACATTTTATATTGTTAATTGTTAAATTAACAATTTAACTTCTCACGTGGACTTCTCACGTGGAATGATTTTTGTTTTGTTTCTGATATAATAATGAAAAATAAAATTATGAAGTTGTATGATTACACTGTATGTAAAAAATATCAAGGGGAAAAAGATAGGAATAAAAGCCCTCCTCCCTCAGTAAATGATTGAGTTGCCCTATCCTTGCCATTGCAGCTTTGTGGCAGGAGTATATTCACTAACATGGTTTCATTTTCTTTGCTGAAGTTGGTCCGATGAGATGAACCCGCCACAGGTAATTCGGACCCTTCTTCCCCTTCTTTTGGAGTCGAGCACTGAGAGCGTCGCTGAGATCAGTAGCAACTCCCTGGAGCGCATCCTGGGCCCTGCGGAGTCTGAGGAGTTCTTGGCTCGAGTGTATGAGAAACTGATCACTGGTTGTTACAACATTCTGGCCAATCATGCAGATCCCAATAGGTGAGCCTGATTGAGGGGGTGGTCAGGCTCCTGTGACCTCCTGCTGCTTGCAGCCGTATATACCAGTGCTGCTTTCTTTATGTCATTAATTAATGGCTTATTGTGCTTTTTAACAGACAGTTCTGTACTTGTGTTCATTTTATGTTCTTGTGGACATGCACGAAAGGTTATTTGGAATCCGCTTTTATGATTGTTAGGAATCAATGTTGAGAAAGTGGAAGGCTTAAATGGTTCAGATTTGGAAACTTTAAGTAATTGAACAGATGCTTATCAAGCGCCTTACTTGATGTAATGAACTGTACAAAGTAGCTTCGTAGAATTTCTAATATTTTTAGAACCATGCCTCTGAGATGGGTGGTGGGGACTTACCTAAACCAAACCACTGTTTGACTTTGGTAGTTTAGGCCGTAGTGATGTGGGCGAGTCCTTAAGAGCAGCAGAGTGAGTTGCAGCTTTGTCCCACTGAGAACTGTACTAATGAAGGGTCCAAGTATGGACATTGCTGGCTTTTTGTTGTTGACTCCAGAGTTTCATCAAGCATTTCTTTTTTTTTTCTTTTCCTCCCTCCCTCCCTTCCCTTCCCTTTCTTTCTTCCTTCTTTCCTCTCTCCCTCCCTCCCTCCCTCATCTTTCCTTCTTCCCTTCCTTCCTCTTCCTTCCTTCTTTCCTTCCTATTTATCTGTCTGTAATTTGAAACAGCAGCAATGATTCTTTGAACTCTTAGCCATTGACTATATCCTTTAAGATTTTAGGAACTTTTTCGTTTTGTTATAGTTTAATGTGTTAGATATGTACTGACCTCCTGTGTAGCCAGGCTTTATGCTAAGCTTTGAAAAAATTTTTTTTAAAGATTTTATTTACTTATTTGACAAGAGATAGAACACAAGCATGGGGAGAGGCAGAGGGAGAGGGAGAAGCAGGCTCCCCGCTGAGCAGCGAACCCAATGTGGGACTCGATCCCAGGACCCTGGGATCATGACCTGAGCTGAAGGCAGACACTTAACTGACTGAGCCACCCAGGCGCCCCTTATGCTCAGCTTTGAAAAAAAAATTGAATATTGCCCTTAAGGTTTAGTCATAAACTTTGGATTTTTAAAAATCAGTATTAGGAAGACATTGAAACAGACCTTATTTCTGGTAGTTAATTTTTCTTTTGATCCTCAGTGGACTGGATGAATCCATCTTGGAGGAATGTCTCCAATATTTGGAAAAGCAACTGGAGAGCAGCCAGGCTCGTAAAGCTATGGAGGAATTTTTCTCTGACAGGTGAGCCGTGTTTTGTTTTACTCAGTGAACATTTTTTGAATGTCTCCTGAAAGCATTAGATATTTTTGTCTCAGGGAACACTTAAAGCCTGCTTTAGGTGTTTGTACCGGGGGGAGGACTTAGATTAATTGCTGGTCCTTCAGGTTATTGATGAGGGGTTGATTTCATGAACACCTAGTGTCGTTGACTGACAAGTGACCAGTCCCCTGAGGGGAGATGACATCGTGAAGAAATAGAAGCGGATGCCTTTTTATGTGAGGCTTAATGTGATTCTCCCCTTTTTTACTCCTTCTGCCTCCCAGTGGGGAACTCGTGCAAATCATGATGGCAACAGCCAATGAGAACCTCTCTGCTAAATTCTGTAACCGAGTTCTGAAATTCTTCACCAAACTCTTCCAGCTGAGTGAGTGACAGTTTTTAGTAATCTTTTTACGGGAACTTTGATGTCCAGCTAATACTGTGCATATCTTCTGCCCAAGTATAACTACCGAGTAACAAGTGCAGAGAATCCCTGCAAGGAAGTTGGGAAGGCAGTTGGAAACTTGCCCGAAGCCTTTCCTGGCTCCTAGTCAGCGCCTTCCCTCCTGTCCCTCACCCTCCATCACTGACCGCAGCCTCTTGGTCTGTCCCTAGCTGAGAAGAGCCCAAACCCGAGCCTTCTGCATCTCTGTGGCTCTCTGGCACAGCTGGCTTGCGTGGAGCCCGTGCGCCTCCAGGCCTGGCTCACCCGCATGACTGCGTCGCCCCCCAAAGACTCTGACCAGCTGGATGTGATTCAGGAGAACCGGCAGCTGTTGCAGCTGTTGACTACGTACATCGTTCGAGAAAACAGGTAGAACACATGCATTTGAGTCACGTGTCCCTAAGAGCCCCAGATGAATGTTGACAGCATTTGCGGCATTCTTTCCTTCAGGCATTGGTCCTTAGCATTTTGAGCGACTCCGGAGCTCCCCTCACTAGACTTAAGGAATCTAGTGGAGCTCCTTAATTTCTCCTGTGGAAAAACTTTTGCAGTGACTGGGCCTGTCAGTTGTCCCATGGGTGAATGTTCTGTGCTCTAATAGCTGAAGTCCAAAACTGGGTGCATATATATGGAGTGGGGAGAAAGGGGGCGGGGAGAGTCATGTATTTAATGTTTAATTTTCAATGTCTCTTACTTTTATAAATTTAGAAGTACGGTCAGATTCCTGTTGTTTACTTATTAATTTGCTGTTTCTTTTCTACCAGCCAAGTTGGAGAAGGTGTGTGTGCTGTGCTTCTGGGCACCCTGATCCCCATGGCGACAGAGATGTTGGCCAATGGTGATGGGACTGGTTTCCCTGAACTCATGGTTGTGATGGCCACACTGGCCAGTGCAGGTCAAGGTGCCGGCCATCTTCAGCTTCACAATGCTGCTGTGGACTGGCTGAGTAGATGGTAAGATGATGAAATTGGAGGGGCCTATCTATAGGTGCAGCGTTGCTCTTAGAGAGAAGGGGGATAGATAATGAATTACAAGTTATTTTCTTTGTAGCTTGGAGTGAGTATAAAAGAACTTGAGTCTCTACCTTTTTATTGGGGATTGAGGGAATAGTCTGTAACTGTTCACTTGAGACTCAATCTTTGTTACATTCTTATAGGGCTTCCTGTTCATTATCCTTAGGAGAAGTCTTAGGGAAAGTGTATCAAGTGTCAGTGGTAAGACCAGAGCACCTACACCTCAGTGTTTTCTAAGAATGCCTTTGCTTCCCAGTGTCACAAATTGACGCAGGATTCATGAAAACTGCTTCCTTTTCTTTGGTTCCTTAGATGATTTTTGTGTCTCACCTGTCTCCCCCCCCGCCCCGCCTTTTTTTTTCCTTTGGGACAGCAAGAAATACCTATCACAGAAGAATGTGGTTGAAAAACTGAATGCCAATGTAATGCATGGAAAGGTAAGCACAGTGAAGCATGACAGCAATCAGGGACTGATGATGATTCTTTGTGATCCATAGAAGGCTCTCCGTTTGACTGGCTTCTGGCCTTGGCCAGCCTGGGTACAGTTTCAAAGCCCTAGGAGTTTGTAACGTGAACTGCATGCCCTCGGGCCTCTGCTGGGTTGTGAGGAGTGATGGGGGGAAATAACAGGGTAAACAAAAAACATCCAGCTGAATCCTTAAAACCTAGTGAATTCTTGCTGTTTTTTAGACATTAGTATGCTGTAGAAAATTGTTCCCTGCTCCTGCATTGGAACTGGGTACTCTGAGTAGGTGGTATATGGGGTCACCGACTGACTTCTTTGCTCTAGTCCATGGACTAGAATTGTTTAATTTACCTGAAGGTTCAGGTCACTGCTGCGAAGAATGGTTTTAAACTGACAGAAGTCTTGCATGCAGGCATTCTTCTCCTCCCCTTGCCCCACCATGAACCTGACATAGGTGGCTAAGAGCAGCTAACTGACCTCTGAGACCCAGCACTGCACCATTCATGTCTCCTTCCTTTCTTGCTAGTCTTTGTCCTCTCAGCTCTGAACTGTCAGAGCGCCTAGGGAAGGAACTTAGAAATATGAGGCCTTGATGCCAGGCTCCAGGGATTTTTAGGCAAACATGAGCAGTGGTTTGCTGGAAAATTTCGCTTGATTTCTGAAGCTATTCCTCCCTACTGCATAAGTTTAAAACCCAGTAACGTAAATGTCTTTTACTAATGGTTAAAAAAAATGCTGTTGGTAGGAAAAAAGCCAATGAGAGCCCATTCATACTTTTAATTTAGTCTTTTTATTATATTGATGTATCCTTGACGTGTAACACTATATTATTTTCAGGTGTACAGCATAATGATTCGATGTTTGTGTAGGTTGTGAAGTGATCACCACAATAAGGCTAGTTAACATCTGTCTCCATACATAGTTGTAAAATGTTTTTTTCTTGTACTGAGGACTTTTAAGACCTATTCTCTTAGTGACTTTCAAACATGCAATACAATATATTGTTAACTATTGTCCCCATGCTGTGCATTATATCCATGTGACTTACTTATTTTATAACCGGAAGGTTGTATCTTTTGAACGCCCTTCATCCATTCTCCACCCACCCCCTGCTCCTGCCTCTGGCAACCACCATTCTTCTTGAATGGTTTTTGCCTCCAATTCTACTCTGTTTTCCTGATTTCATTTTTACCTCATTTTACAACATTTCGTAGAGGGTTGTCTTCGTGTTTGAGAATGAATGAATCACATTAATTCAGCCCAATGTATTAACTGCTACATGCGGTCACAGTGCTCAGAGCTGAGGAAATGGGTAATTAAAATGTTTTTTTGTCTGCTTTTATACCAAGTCTCTGATCTTGAGCTTTATTTATTTATTTATTTTTTAAAAGATTTTATTTATTTATTTGAGAGAGAGAGAATGAGAGACAGAGAGCACGAGAGGGAAGAGGGTCAGAGGGAGAAGCAGACTCCCTGC